CCCCAATTCCCCAATAAAATCTTAAAAAAAAAACACAAAAAAAACAGGCACTGATCTAAGCATTTTGTATATATTGTCTCATCAATTCCTTATAAAAATACCTACAATGTATGCTTTATTATCCTGTTTACAGATGAAAAAATCATGGTACAGAGATGTTAAGTGACTTGCTCAGTCAAGCAGCCTGTGTTTGGCAGACTCATTATTTGAAATCAGTCAGGGTCCACTGTCTGTCTTACAACCAGTTTATTTCTTGATTCTTTCATGGGTGATTTTATTTTAAGCATCATAGGTAGATGAGTTCACACATGTAAAGTATTTAGAACAGTGCCCAGCACTGATTAACTGCCAGTAAGTGCTAGCTGTTGCTTCTGCTACTACTGTTTCTACTACAATTTAATAGTTAATCTAGAGAGAATGACTATCTGAAGCTGAAGTGCCTTATATACATACAGCACCTTATGTACATATATGCACATATATAACCTATACTTGGTTAGAGAAGTCTCTATCATAGCAGCTTATTACTGTACCATTCCGTTTGTTTTGTTTTATTTTTTATTTATCTGATTCATTGTCTGTTTGGCTTGTTAGAATATAAACTCCATAGAGAAGAAACTGTGTCTCCCTGTTTCTGTTTTGCACCCAGTGACCAGCACAGAGTTGGACACATTGTAGGTACTCAGTAAATATTTATGATAAAGGTAAACACAATAGAAATACAAAGAAAAGTATCATCCCCCTTCCCCCCACAAGTCACTTACACAGGCTATCACAAAGGCATTGCAAAAAGAAGAACATTTTGCATTATTTTTCTATAACCATTAGCAAATTACATATGGCCAGGCCCTCCGCAGAAAGAGTGTGTGCATAAAAGAAATGGAAGCAGGGTCTCCCAGGCCCACTTAACAGTACCGCTACCATTCTTCCCAGATCTCCTACCTGCCTTGTTCAAAAGTAGCATATGAAGATAAATATATCTCCTGGAGTTACAGCCCAGATGAGGTCAGCTCCTGAAAACTGTGAAATGCCTCCTATGAAGGATTTCTCAGTTTTGAAGGAAAGATATTTGAATCCAAAAATGAAGTTTTGCCTCCTCCAAAGAGAGATTATATTTATAATAGTTTATTGTGCAAAAAAGCACGCCACCTTCTCACTTACACTTACAGAATTTATATATCTTATCCATACTCCATAAGATAAGAAAACCAAATATTTTTTTCCCTGTATGTTCTCAGCAAGAATAAGCTATAAGAGAGTACTGTTATGTCTATTTTAATATCCAAAATGAGAACCTAACTTTCAATATTTTGGAACTGAGGAATATTATAGAAAGGAACATAGAGGGAATATATGAAGAAGAGAGTGGAAAGCAATGATTAATTAGAGAAAGTTATTTTCTTATATGGAGACCTTTGGAAAAATGAACATAAGAGAAAATATATATAAACCTCCTTAAATGTCAATCTTTTTTTTGGGAGGAAGAAGTAGTTTCTTGGTATTGATTTTCACCTAAAAATGTCTTTGGTATCAAATTTGTAAATGTTTAGAATTCATATCCTCTTTACATGATTGAAAAACTTGCTATCACTTTTATATATTTCTTATCACATATGTACATTTTAATTAGTACTGAGTGGATATTTTGTAAAAGGTCATGTGTTGGACATAAGGTAAATAAGTCATGATTCTAACCCCCAAAATGTTACTGTGCTAAAACATAATGCAACACTGATAGTGTGATTTCTCAACTAAAATGATGCTCTTACATGCATTAAATTTTGTTTACCAAAAATAGTTACTTGATTTTTATTCCATTCACCTGATCACATTTTAACAAATCAGTATAACATAATACTATATTGATGTTTACATGAATAAAGTGTAGAAAAGTGTTCATTACTTCTGATAGCCATGTTTATATCTTAGTCAGTAAAAAGATTGCTGTTTTTAACACAATAAAATTTTAATCTAGATCTAAACATTTAATTCTGCAGGGAATTTTAGTGGAGTCACATGAAGAAAAGGGAAGAATGCCAGGAGTAGAAACAAAACAGGATCTCTATGGTTAGAGTAAGAGAAAGTGGTTTGACGTGTGTAAACAGAGATATAATTATTAAGCTTCAATTATAACCCACATCTATTCCTCTATTAAATCAGATGAAATTTCTTATTATTATTATTATTATTATTTTATTATTTTATTATTTTTTTTAGCTGAGCCATCCTGCCATCTGTTGGCATCTCAGCTCGGGCCGGGAATAGAACCGCTGTTGCTCAGAGCTTGCACTCTTGAGTGAGCTCTTAACCAACTGAGCCACTCAGCCGGCCTCTTATTATCTTTTTAAATTGACTTTTCTTTCATCTTAAAATGTTTAATAAAGCAGTAATTATTTTACTATACTTACTTGCACTTAAATTATGTATACTAATGGTTATGTATCATTTAATACATAACCTGCAGTTCATATAATTTAGGTTGAGTAATGCATATGAAAGCATACAGTGTCATTGATGTTTAAAAATGTAAACAACAGTCATACATATTATATCATAAAAGTATTGAAAGAGTGTGAATGAAAATTCCACCAAAGATTTTTACAGCGATTTGAACGGCAAGGTGTTCTATAGGCTTCTGCCGCTTCTTACCTCCAGATGAATGTTATTTAATTCAAAGCTCCATTTTTTCAATACATGGGTAATGTGTATTTAATTTAGCCACCATAAAATGTAATATTTTTTTTCCTTTTTGAGCCACCCTTTTTGTGAGTATCCTTACAGGGTATAATTCTTTGCAAACAGTCCTTAGTCCTGATCTATATTGTAAACAGAATTTGTACATATGGCTCAAAATGAATGATTGAATCAATTTAAAATACTTCACATGTTTTCAAAGATGAATATCCACAGCATCAAAATACCTATGGAAAAAGGATTGGCTTGTTTTTGGGTTTTTTTTTTTTAACTCGACAAAAAACAATTGATGTGTCACAAAAAGAAATGAGTTGTGATAAGAGACAGACAGGGAATGAAATTTACTATATTAGTTTTTGTACAACTATGCCTCACTTCACAGGATAAATGTAATCTTCAAAATGTGGAAAATTATTTTTTTTTAAATCAAGTCTTAGTGTAGACATGTTAGCAAAACCCACTTTTAAAAGAAAATGTGTGTATGTGCTTTGCGTGTGTGTGTTTGCTTAGTTCTTTCTGTGCTCCTATCTAGTCAGAAGGGGCGCAAAAACAACTTTAGGAAAAAAAAGCTTATAGAGGCTTTCTATGTCTATCCAAATCACAAATTGCAAATCCTAACCTTGAATGAGTTTTTGTAAGGCTTTTATATGAAGGCTTGTATCTTTACATTGAAATGAAAGTGACATGCCACCTAGCTGGTGAGGATGGTTATGGAGAGATTTTCATAGAATTTTAATACCTAGATTACAAGCTACATAAGGGCAAGTATCGTTCTACGTCTTGATCACTGAAATGTCCCAAGCCTCTAGAATACTATGCCATATGTAGTGAGACTCAGTAAATGTTTGTTGGATGAATGATGGAAACATTTGTAAATGATCACTCCGCTTATGTTTTAGATTACAAAAATGAGAATGTAGCCAGCTGTAAGTTACTTGTCTGAGGCAGATGGTGGCAAAATTGACTAGAATTGACATACTAGTCTTTTGCCACCATCTGGCTCAGACAAGTAACAGTGTCCTTCAATAAGTTATTTTACTATTAAGTGCTAAATATGTGATAAAAGTCAGCATCAACCAAGGCCATATACACTAAAAGAGGATTTCCAGGCAAACATATTCTTATATTCTGTATACCTCCTTACTTAAATTATTTTCTGATTTATGAAAAATTTGACATGAGGTAGATAAGGCATTATAAATTTTATAACGTAGATGTGTTCATGTATTCAATAAACATTTAGTAAATCTTTTCCTTCAGCAGGATGCTAAGTAGTGGGGATATAATTGTGACCCATCTACGTTTTCTTTTGTGACAGAAACAAATAAAAAAAGCAAACACATAAGTGAGCAAAATAAATTTGTCTAATGATAAGTGCTTTAAACAAAATACATGGCTATGGGAGTTTGGGAATTGAATGAGTCTGTAGTTATAGTTCTCAGGGGACCAATTTTGAGGAGATAACAGTTAAGCTGAGATCTTTAAATTATAAATTCAGCTTAAAAAAAGTTTCTCAGGTGGATAGGGTCTAAATATCTCCAAAGACATATATGCCACTGGGAAGGCAGAAGGAGAGAGCTTACAATACCTGTAATGTACAACAACCAGTAGACTTGGAAATGTTTGTATCCAATAATGTCCATTTACCAAAGTGGGAACATTCCTGTTCTATAACGTAGTTATTGTGATGCACCCATATTATTTTTATATTGTTCAATCAATGTTTGGAATGTTAAAATAACTTCCAAATATAAAACAAAGCAATAGAATTTTGATAATGCCCAAACAAATGCAGTATAATTTTATATATTAAGTTTTGACTATTTTTCTATTTTTTATTTGATTTCTTTATTTTATACATGTTTCCCAGGATAGTCCACTGGTCTTACAGTCTGACAGGAATGTAACAGTGAATGCAAGAAATCACATGGGGCAGTTAACTGGACAGCTGACAGTAGGTGAGTGTTTTGGGGTAAATTCACTTGTACCATTTTACTCCATTTAATACTCTGTGCTTGTTTAAACTGGGAAAAGCAAAAATATATTATTTCTCTAATATATAACTAGACATCACATACAGCTCAATTATCTTACACATGATTCGATTTGTCAGTTATGGTTTCCTCTGTTTGGCAGTTATTACTCTTGTCAAATGCATCATTATGGCACTGAATTATATATATTTGGCTGTTATTCCACTTGAATTAGAAAATATACAATTTTCTCAACAAATATATCATCCTAGCGTATGTTAAATTATAGTGAACAGCCTTAACAAAAATGTGAGATATAACATTACATAGTCTATATATTTTAGCAAATAATTATTATAGCAAATAATTTACTTATAAATATTATCTGCTTACATAAATTAGAAATGACAATATTTGCATGTTGTAAATGTTAACATTTAGGAATTACTTATAAATTTGATTTTGAATTATCTATCCTTTAAAGTTTATAGGCTTCAGAAATTATAAATATGTTATTGAAAAAGTATGAATTTTATCATATTGTCAAAAAATTCAATGTAGTTTTTCATATTACGTGGCATTATTATTGGATTCAGTTTTTGTAATAAGAAAGACAAATTCAAAGTCAGTTGTAATTATGTAAAATAATACAAAAATTTGATTTCTGTGTAACTGCTAAAGTATTTTAGGAATACTTTATTTTCCTGTGGGAAAATTACCTAACAGTGATTTTGTATGTGTGTGTGTGTGTGTGTGTGTGTGTGAAACTAAATTATCAATGGTAAATTACAATTCTGAAGAATGAGTTATCCTCATCTTAATGTTAAACTCATCATTTTAATGCTAATGTATATATACAATTTTTCTAATTAAGTTACACAAATATGACATTTAAAATGTTAGATTTATAAACATGAGTTTGATTCTGTCCACTTTCTTGTAGGTATATGAAATAGTTTTTGATATCCTATTCATTTTAATGAAGCCAAAAGTGAAACTTGTATTTTAGCATATGTGTATTTCCAAAAAACAATGCATTTTATTTAGAATAACTAAATTGTATTTTACATATTATTTAAAGCATATGAATTGTTCAATAGATATGTATTAATTACTATAAGTAATTAATAGCATTTTGTGATAACATAGAAATTATAAATGGGAGGAAATACAAATATATTGAAAATTACATAACAGAAAGATGTCTATGGATACAAAACAGAACTGATTGACAAGCATGAGGCACTCAGTTGAATTGACCATGCCAGTTCACTGTAATGCCAGAATGCTAGGAGTTGGCCTAAACTGGCAGATTTTCCATATGATATTCTCTTAATATTGATAATACTTTATTTAGATAAAACATTCTTTTAAATTCTGTTCTTGTTCCAAACTTACTTTAATATAATATTGATATTTTCAATTGAGGAAAAGAGGAAGAAAATAATGAAGGAGAAGGGAAAAAGGGTGTGGGTGGAGAGACAAAGTTTATGCTTAGTTTTACATGAAGCAAATCAATAAGTTCATGATATAACAGCTTATTTCTGTGAATGAAAATAAACTCATTCCAATGTAGCTAAAACTAAAAACTAAAAACATCCTGATCCTCGGGCCGGCTGAGTGGCACGTTGGTTAAGAGCTGGCTTGGGACGCCAGAGTGCCCCGGTTCGGATCCCACATATGAGGGCCAGTGACACTGCCCTCTACAGCTAAGATGCTGAACAACAGCTCA